GGCTGCCATCATTTTCAAGAAAATAATTAACAGAGAATTGTTTTTATTCCTAGATTTATAAAATGGATTGCAATGAAATCAGTAAAAAAGGAGGAATGAAGCATGTTTTCTTCACAGTCGTTCATCTTTGTTCTTCCACTGAAACGATCCCGGCAGCCCTGACGTGCACTGAACGCTGAACAAGGTTGTAGCCACATCAGTGTGAGGTGCAGGGGAGCTCACTTCCTGCAGTAACATCTGATAAGTTTCAGGAAATCGTCTGGTGCTGGGAGGAGCTGTTGGGAAAGGTGTCTCGGCACTGTCCTCTCCTGGGGTCATCCAGATGCTGTTGGAGCCATTCATGGCAGATCTGGTTGCAATGCGTTCCTCCAGACCATGACCTGAAGAAGAGTGCATTCTTCTTGAAAGTCTCCCTTGTTGGAGGTAAGAAAGCCAGCCTTGGTGCACCAGACACACTCTGGGCTACTTCTGACCTGCCTCTGTCAACGATGTAAACTTAGTCTGACTATAACAGGCCAGAGTAAGCGGGGTTGCCCTCGACTTGTGTCACCTACGTTATGCAGCTTAGAGCATGAACGCCAGCTCTCAGGACTCTGAGGGCTGCAGCCTTTCAGAGTCCAAAATATGTTGCCACTGTGACACACCCAGTGAGCCCATGTACTGCTAAGACGATTTCACAATGCTTGTCAACAGTGAAACTGCTTCAATCAATCACTGCACGACTATGAATCGGCGAAACCATCAAGACAGAAGTTGAAGCTGGTGTGTCACCTTGGCAACAGAAAGCAGAAGAACAAAGAGTGAGTGTCGCCTGCAACCACAAGCACTTGATAAGCATCAACTGCATGAAAGTCACTGACGGCACCTTCAATTCAGATTTCAACCTCATTTGCCCGGTGATAATTGAGAGAATTGCTTTTGTTTTTTTTCTTTTGTTGAGAAGATCCTCTTTGTGGGGTTTACCATCGTGCTCAGTGTGGGAACCAGTGCAGGCAACGAAGCTCGCAGTCAAACACTGACAATTACTGTCGCAATCTCTTGGCTGGTGGAGCACCCTGATTATTCTCACACTTGGCAAGGTTGGTTTTTGACGTATACGGAGACACTTCAAGTTCTCATTTTCAGCAAGCCGTGTTTCAAATTGTGCAAGGTGTTCCCATAAACTTGTGTTTATAATTATCTGTAGTCATGTCATACCGATAGTCTCACAGAGCGATGTCATCTCATCATACTCAGAATGTAAACACACAGCCCTGGTCCATGGTTTATTAGTAGAAAAAGCTATTTATCAAAACATTACAGTCCCCTTGATTGTGCCATCTTCGTGGTTACTATGGCAACACCCCATCCCATCATAATTTTAGGGTTAGAAAACATTTTACCAAGGCCAAAAATGATGCTATACTTTTTTAAAACTTAAACCAAATGGTCATTATAGATGCTTACCAGTGTCACCTGTCAAATCTATTTACTGGATACATTGTGGTCATTAGTGTATACAGAGAAAACAAAAACGATGCTGCAAAAAAAAACATTTTCTGAAATTTCTTTCCATTTTTCTAGCTTAATGGTATCCATATTTCTAGTTACCATAGCAACAGTACAGTCAATACTTCTCAAGTCCTTTCTATTAGACCCCAAAACAAGCATCTTGGCTAAAACATCATCGCTTTATGGCAGAAAACACGACGTTTTTTATTTGTAGTCCTTTGTGGCAGCCATCTTGGATCTTGGAAATTTAAAATTGCTCAAGGGTGACAGGTCCACATCCCGCTAGGTCTCATTAGATACACCCTAATGACAAGAAACCAGCTGAGGAAAAACTACATCAGACGTTTTGGGGTCAGGGGGACGTTTGGCCTTTAGCTGCCTAACTATGAGAGTGATGGAAATCCTTCATGAATACCTTATTTTCGGCCTCAGGTACATCAGTATGTCACATGTGAGATTGTTGTTATTCTGGTTTTAGGCGGTGCTAGACTTAAGCCACATACTGCCCAGAATTTAACAACATTTAAATGTGAATCTGAATCAGATCTCATTAAACTGCACACACATTCTAGTGAAGCTGTTTTTGATCGTTACTCCTCACTAAATAGTACCTAATAATGTTTTTTACTTACTTTATTGTATTCGGTCATGAATTTTTAATGGTATTAAGAAATACTGAGATTTGAATCCATTTCAGGGGATTAAAACTCAAGAATTGCAGACTGCCAGCGTGGAAGGATTGTTTCTGTACAAGAAGCAAAACAAGAACCACTGCTTCCTGGAGTTTAAAGCTCCTTCTAGAGTGCAAGCACGACAGACATGTTGACAAAAGTTGTGTAAAAACTTTTGTTTCAGCGAGTTTATGTGGGAAACACAGCAATTAAGAATTTCTAACTCAAGGTGCTGGCTGGTTGGCTGTTGGCCAGTCCACACTAATAGCCTTATTTTTGCTCTGCAAATATGTGAATAGTCTTTTCCTCCTAATGAGGGCCAGAATGCATGGATTGGATGACCCGTGTCCCCCTGCACTCATTATAAAAGCACAGAGTCCTGCAGAAGCTGTAGCTAATGTTCACCTAGCAATTATGATGGAACTGGTGACTGATGGGAAAATCTTTTCCTGTGCGTTCCCCTCAAAAGGCCTGCGTCTCAGAGCCTTGCAGACAACGCTCGGAGGCATCTCAACTTTTTCACTGTGCTGCCACGCAATCATTCATTTGGAAACAGTTATGTCAGGCCTTGGTGCTGTTTTTAGAAGCTACCGTTTGTACAGTAGGGCTTTGCTGGACTCTGACTGGACATGGAATATCATGTGGTGAACCACAGGGAGCTACAGGATGATAGGGGGGGTAGATTTAGCCTGGAACCAGACTGATTTAACAGCATATTGATCCCTGTGAGCTCAGACACTGGATCCAGAAATTGTAAAAAAAGAGAAAAAAGAAGAAGAAGCAATAAACAACTGTAGACATGACAACGTACCTGGCATATAAAAACCAACAAATGCTGCACCACACAAAAAGGGATCCACATTTGTTCAGTTACCTTGTCGGGGACTATTTAACTTTTATTTATCTACAGTTTTTTTTGTGTTTGTTTTGCCCTTTGTGGAGAGAAAACAAATTGATCCACGTTGCTGTTGCATTGATTATACAGTATGTGGACATTTCACATCTGCTTTCATGGTGGAATCTTTACTAATTGATACTAGTGCCTTCAGCAGGGGAGAAGTGATGCCAGAAAGCCAACAAACATCACAAAAACAAACGAAGGAGGGAGGGAGGGAGAGGAAGAGAGGTGGAGATGGATGCACTCTTTGTTAGAGAGGTGCTGCTATGTTGTTCATCCTGCCTCGTGTGTTTGAGAGACGGTGCGTAAGCTTGGGTAACTATGGTGTGGGTGTATTCCTCTGTGGCCATGATCTTGGTAATATGATGAGTGAATTCTGGTTGCAGCTTTTTTTTTTTTTGTCCCCCCCCCCTGGAGATTTAATATAGTTTGCTGCGAGTGTCAGCAGCTTCCCTGCAGAACGTGTTATATACCCTGTTAGGATCTCCAGTGTGTTGCATTCACGGGCTAAAACGGGTGCAGTCACCCGTGAGATGGATGCGGGGTCATCAGCGGCTGTTAGCACAGGTGACCCAGAAGAATAACCAGTAAACAAGGTGCATTTGTAAATGCTGGCTGCAGAGAGGAGGGATTTTCCTTGAACTGCAGATGTACTGAAGGGAAAATTAGGAGAACAATGAGATATATTTGTTCAGCATTATGAAACCAAGGATGCGTCATGGTAGTCCCTTTGCAACAGAGATAAAGGCGTCAAAATCTTGCTTTTACTATTTATACAGCGAGAATTTTTTACCAACATATTAACCACAAACAGCCACCGGCCTGTTTATCCATTGATGGAGTCTAAAAAAATGTTGTTTCATTATTTCAAAGTCATAATGACATCTTGACTGCAGTTTCACATGTTTGATCACTTGGAAAAAAAAAAAAAACTGTCAAATCAGGCGAACCCTCTTCCCTCCTCCTCCAAATTGTCTGTCTTTGTAGTACCACTAGGCAACAGTGAGTGCATCACTGGAAACGTGGAAGTGCGCAGGAGCTGAGCAGGGAAATCGAAGAGAAAGAAGGATCTGAGCAGCAGAAAAAAAAAGAAGAAAAAAAAAAAGGAAAAAGAGAGCATCTGGTGGATCTCTGCCGCTGAACCATGAGAATCCAGTCGATATTTCTCTAAGAGAGGGGAAAGGGTGCCCGAAAAGAGCCTGGCAATCAGCGTCGATGCGCGCAGCCGAAAATGACGACAGTGGGACAGTGATTTTCTTCCTCCAGCTCGTCATTTTTTACTGTCATGTGCTTGGATGCAATTTATCTCCTATGTATACAGATCACAAAGGGAGGACTGGAAACCGACTAATCTCCAACACAGCCGCAAGTGCGCACAGAGAGGGCTCGTCCTGGGAAGCGTTTCCAGCGAATAATTACGCAGAAATATTTGTCTTCTACCGACCGCTGAAGGATTTTGAACTTTCCCATGAAAACTTACTCTGTGAGTACAGTTTTGAACAGGTCGATAATAGCCCCAACCTTCACGGGCGATGAGTAATCCACGACGCAGCAACTGATAAAAACCTAAAAACCTGGACCTGCGACTGGCGCGTTTGGATACCTTATCCTGTGCGTCGCTTCTTCTTCTTCTTTTTTTTTTATTTTTATTTTTTATTTCATATGGCTTCTATTTCTGGGGTTTGTAAACTACTCGTACATTATTGATATTTCATGGCTGTAGAGTGTAGCAACAGTAGTGTGTGGCGAAAGAGGACAGTGCAAGACTAACTGGGGGCGAAGACATCGCACTTTTAACGCCTTATTTCCAAACAGGAGCCACATTGCGCACGGGCACTAACGACTGCAGCAACTACAAGCCAGACTTTTTTTTTTTTATTTTATAAAAAAAACACACACACAGACTCCTTTGTTATTTCTTTCGCTGCTGTCATCGTAGTATGTCTGCACTTCGAAAGAAATTTGGGGACGATTATCAGGTAGTGACCACCTCATCTAGCGGGTCTGGATTCAATCAGCCTCCCCCAGAGAAAAAGAAGAAGAGGCAGCGGTTCGTGGACAAGAACGGGCGATGTAACGTCCAGCATGGCAACCTGGGTGGTGAAACCAGCAGATACCTCTCAGACTTATTCACAACACTAGTAGATTTGAAATGGCGCTGGAATCTATTTATTTTCATCCTCACCTACACGGTCGCTTGGCTCTTCATGGCCTCCATGTGGTGGTTCATCGCGTACATCAGAGGAGACCTCAACAAAGCCCACAATGATAAGTACACTCCATGTGTGGCCAACGTCTACAACTTTCCCTCAGCCTTCCTGTTCTTCATAGAGACCGAGGCCACGATAGGATATGGTTACAGATACATTACAGACAAATGCCCCGAGGGGATCATTCTGTTTCTGTTCCAGTCGATCCTGGGATCGATCGTCGATGCGTTTCTGATCGGCTGCATGTTCATCAAGATGTCTCAGCCCAAGAAACGGGCCGAGACTTTGATGTTCAGTGAGCATGCAGCGATTTCTATGCGAGATGGAAAACTCACTCTCATGTTCAGGGTCGGCAACCTGCGTAACAGCCATATGGTCTCTGCACAGATCCGCTGCAAATTACTGAAAGTAAGTGACGCTACTTCTTGCCAGGGTGCATCTCAGATTTTTATTTTTTCTTCTTCTATCTCCCACTGTTTATCATTGCCCAGTTCATTTATTTTATTTTCTATTCTTTATAAAGGAAACAGACACAGAAAGGCCTACACACTGACATGTAAGCCTAACTGTGAGGCATTTATCAGCTTCATTCTTATTCCCAAAGATTTCTAAACTGTCATGGATGTAGACAGCAGTAGGTAATAGCACAAAGAAGACCATCACTTGTCCTAAGTCATAACACAGCAGGCTCATTTTGGCACGAATCTCTGCACAAATAGCAGAAGAACAGTAATCCACCAAGTTTGCCAAGAGGCCCTCACCACCATAGAATCACTCTGTTGAGATCTTGACGAGAACATTTTGTTCATAAGCTCGTCCCTTTAACTGTTAAATGACAAGCAGGCAGCGTTCTGCATGTGCTGCTGCTCCTTTATAGGAGATAAGCCTCGTCTGAGGGTTTCCCTGCTGTCCACCTCTTGGCCTCAGAAGTCTAATAATCATGAAAAGCAAAATTGGAGATGCACGTCCATCGGTTGTCATGGTAATCGATAGAATACAGAAGCTAAAAACATGTGGTTTCCCAGTAAGTTCAGTCTAAATGTGAACCGCATCCATCTAAGCAAATGAGTCTATTTGTTCATATAAATATCTCCTTGTGTCCAAATTCTATGTTTTGACAAACCAGGTGGGTATAAAGCAGGTAAATAAAGAAATTGATATAATTCAGTTGGTTCAAGAGTCACTGGAACATTAAATCCAAGCTAAAATGAAAGTTCTTGCATCATAAATGCATATTTGGGTTTAATCTATGAAAGCTAGAGTCATCTTTTTCTGATAAACTCCTGATTGGAAGCCACAAAACCCCTCAATAAGCTGTAGGTAAATCCATCTTACCCCGTCCTCCCCCCCCACTAAACACCTCTGTCTGTCTCTTTCTGTATGCATCTTTAGTCTCGCCAGACGCCCGAAGGCGAGTTTCTTCCGCTGGATCAGCTGGAGTTGGACGTAGGTTTCAGCACCGGGGCAGACCAGCTCTTCCTCGTCTCACCACTCACGATCTGCCATGTGATTGACACCAAAAGCCCCTTCTACGACCTCTCCCAGAGGTCCATGCAAACAGAGCAGTTTGAAATCGTGGTGATATTAGAAGGAATAGTAGAGACCACAGGTGAGTAGCAGCAGACGTGCATTTGCGATGGCCTGAGAGCCTGTTTTGCTTCGACGCTGTGGCTCCGGGCTACGTGCTCGCTAGAGGTCCATGTTGTGTTGTCTCCATGACGGTGTTGAGATGTATTTCTGGTATAAATGCTATGAATAACATCGAGCTCTTTCATAGGTGTTAATAGCCGGCCTCCAAATGGACTCAGTATTGACCTCTTGATTGCATTTCATTGATTTTTATTTCACACAAAGCACCTAATAACAGAAATGGTTAGCATTTATAAACCACTGGTGATTTATCATTTTTTGTTGCGGGTATTAAGGGGAATCATTTGATCCTCTGTGTTTTAACCTCTTGCTTTTAAGATAAGTTAGAGTTTCAAGTGACACCTCGAGCACTTAAACTCCAGCAGGTCACTGTAAGGATATACGTTTTCTTTTTTTCCTCATCTGAAACAAATTCCATTCCCTCCGCCTTTGTGCCTGAACAGCACTTACCTCGTGGCGGCTGTTCTCAGACGGCATAATAATTTGCTTTCTAAGGTCCCTTTGGAATTAGGGAATTCCATTTCCACGAGATGAGCAATGCCCCGAGTAAAAAAAAAAAATCCTCCTCTGTGGTCATTTTAAATTCAACCGTTTATTTGACACAGTTGATGTAGTAGTGTGGGGAGAGCTCCTGCAGTGCTACAGACCGAACGCAGGAGCAGTTGTAATGGGTGGTTCAGAGAAAACAGCATATGGAGATGTGACAGGGAGGCTTACAGGCTAACACTGCAGACGGTAATTAGCCAAGACGTTCAATTCCTGATAGATGATCATGATAGTAATTTATTGCGGTTTTATTAAAGTTTAATTGCGGCTGAGATTTACCTCACTTATGACCCCGTGGCTCAAGGCGCGCAGGATTTATGCTGTATCAGTTTGATGAGACTTGACACACTCAAGAAAGGTGGCGTACATTATTAAATGAAGTTAATATACTACGGTGTGCCGCGTCTGAGCTCAGTGTCGGACTTCAAAATGATACTTCACTATAAACCAGGAAAGGTGGTGTCAGAATGGCCTAACTTGTTTTGCTATTGGAGTATGTGTGTGCTGTATGTTGAGCTAATTAACCCGCCTGCTGCTGCTGCTGCTGTGTACAAGTAGACTTAAAGCATGCAAACACCCCCCGTAGCAATGAATTATCTTTGTTATATTAGCAGATATTTATAGTATTACAGTGTCGGAGAAGCATGTGTCATCATATCATCCTTGGCTTTGTGTTGTTTTTTGATTGTTATGCTCACGGTTAGAATCGTCTGCATGGTGGAGCGGTCGTGGTTATGCGAAGCCGGCGGAGAGGCTGATGTAGAAACAATCTATAGTTTAAAAATTGATGTACAGTGAAAGTCTAAATCCTTAGACGCTTTCATTTCTGGCCAATGTAACTCTGTTTCCATGGCAACCTCTCCTTGAGTATTCAGGATTGCAGCACTGCACCTAAACTTAGGTTTTTTTTTTTTTGCTTTTTTTTATTTTTTTTATTCCTATGGTATAGGAATCATAACACAATTTCAGTAATAAATCAGGCAAACATGTGATGCCAAACGTGAAATGAAACCGCCACGTCGACAGCGCCACTCGCTATTAAAGGAGAATCTCTTCTGGAATATGAAAAAGCACACGGAGGCGTTACTGTACCATAAAGCGCTTGCCAGAACAGGTGATACAGCAGCAGAGAAAGAATAAGATGAAATATTTATGAGGCTTGGTGTTTACTAGTGAAGAAGCTGCCCAACTCCCCGGATCTCTCTTTTTTTTTTTTTTTTTGTCTTCCTTTTTTTTGTTATGTGTGGAAAATAACACTGTCTGGAAAACAAGTTACAGTACTCTCTCTCCACTGCAGACTAAAGCTTCACCATCACTGGCTCGCTGGTCTTCCTACTAGATTATGACAGACACAACAGCATACCCTTTTTGACACACTAACCTTTTGTTCCCAGAGATCACACAAATTCTTATTTCTTTTTTTTTTTCTTCTTCTTCTTCTCGTTCTCTTTGCACACGCGAGAAGAAAAGCCGAGCACGAAGAAGCTCGGAATTGTTCTATTTTGCCGTGACCTCTGACAACCTCCACATTGTGTAAAGCAGAATGAGCTAATCCTCATTCCCTCTGAATAGGAGCCCCGAGGTTTTTTATTTTAGCCACTACCTCATTGTGATACACCTTCCAAAATGAGAAACGTAGGTTTACAGAACCATATTTTCTGACTTTGTGGTAGCTCCTAGTGCAGATGTTGTGCTCCGGAGGATAAATTGACTTTACATCATGGTGCAGTTAATGTACATGTAGTCTGAGGAGCAGGGCTGGCTGTGGGGGAGGGAAAAAAAAAAGAGGTGAAAACGTAGTAGTAATGAGTTTTGGATGAGTTAATGGCACTAACAGAACTCGTGTCTGACACGTGTAATCACAATATCAATCAATACCAAACGCATCGCTGCCCAACCAGACGCTCAGCGGTGGCTACAGAGCAAGCGTGCGCGTCAGGTTGTGTGCGCGCGAGAGCTTCATCCTCGTCGCTGATGTGAATCTCAGCCCAGTGATACTGAGCTGAGTTACTCCTGCATTATTTGAGCGCTGCCTGACAGGTGTTTGGATAAAGACGGAGGAATTTATTACAGCTAGAGTGAATAACAAGTAATGACTGCGGCCCAGCTGATATTGGAATGCTCGAGCGCGGCGCTAATAGAAATTTGTAATACATACAAATAAGTGTTGTTGTCGGTTTACAGTTACGATAAGAATACGTAACCAATTAGATTTTACATTCGACAATAGGCTTATTAACGCTCGGACTCTGCAGGGCAGGAAGATCTGCTCAGCTGTAATATGCTGGAGTGGGCTGGGCAAAGTGATTACGTTTAACTGTTCTGTTATCCCCAGTGTTACTTATTTGAACGATTATATTCATATTCGTGTTGGATACACCTTGGAACAGCACCGTCCCCTAGAAATGTTAATACAGTAGAGCTGCAACAACTCTTTGTTGGTGATTCATGGTCTTGATTTATGGTTTAAGATGCAAACTGATACAAAAGCCCCAGATGTTGCCTTCAGATAGTTTTCTTTTTGTCTGACCAGCAGCGCAAAGCAAAAGTTTTCAATGATTTAAGAGGCAAAAGGGCAAAAAAATGTGTCTCAAAATGGCCACAAATGTGCTTTACATGGTACAATTCATGCAGCTGAAGCAAAAACAAACCCCAAAAACATTTGTAGCACGCCGATATTCATCCAGGTTGAGACGAGGGCATTTCTAAGTTTCTTTTACGCGCTCAAATTGCTTGGTATTTACGAGCGGATTGGAACCCGCATTTCAATTTGCACACAAGTCCTGGTACACAACTGCAAATGTTATTTTTCATTTGTAGATTATGTAATACACATTTGTGACCCTTCTGAGCTTAATTTTTGTCAACACAATAGCGGCGAACCATCACAATGGCAGAGGAGGAACTTGTGAATGCTTGGCCTTGTTTCTTGTGTACAAATGACTAACAGGATTCATCAATTATCAAAATGGTGCCAGATTAATTGTCTCTCATTTTGCAAATGGGTTAATTGACTAATTGTTCCAGCTTTTTAAAAAAAAAATATAATTCCTAAACTATGAATATGATTCTTAAGAAACATAATGCTGCTTAGATTTAGTGTTCTATCACTATAATAAGGAAATATGAATGAAAGTAGCTGCAGATAGTTCGCTGGTGAAGTATTTCTTTATGCTCGCTACACAATATGTAGTCACAGTGTGATACAAATCCTTTATGACTATATTTAGACACCTACAATGCTTAATTGAGTTTCAACATCACAGTTTTGATTAAATACAGTCAATTTCTAAAGTGACTTGAAGCCCAATGCATGACATGTTTACCTCATTATCATGAACAATTAGCAATATTGTCCTAACTGTAACAGCCATGTAAAACACAGGATGCAAACACTGAGCATTGTCTGCCAAAAACTACGTTTGGACACAACTAAAGCACATTTAAAATAACATTTTGAGGGAAATCTGTTTTCTCCAAGACTACAATTGTTTGCAACGGATAACAAAAAATGTTTCAAATGAACATGTCTTTGCCATTTACTGCTTTGACAATTATGATTATCTTTTAACCCTATTCAGGACTTTCATGTTGTCATACGTAGAAGGTCTTTCGGGGTTCATTGGACCCCAAGAAAGAATATGTGCAAAATATTTGTTGGTATCAATTATAGACTTTTATACTATGTAAATGCATTTTCTGATAAGCTGACATATTTTTAATTCCAAATACATGACATATATCCCTCTTTTTATATACATATATAAAAAAATCTTCAAAAATGAAAAAAACAATACCTGTCACCTAAACCAAATGGCCTGGGGTCCAAAGACCCCAAAAGTCCTGATTAGGGTTAGCCAAAACCATGACATTTTCCACAACTTAACAAAGTAGTTCTGGTGCTAATGTAGACTTTGTAGCTCTGTCAAAGTGGAAATGCTTCCTCGTACTGGAAAACTCACTAGGGGAATATATGTGCCTTTAAAAACCTAATTAAGAATGCACTTTAGTTGTAAATCGATGTAGTCTTTAGCATGTAGGGCTGGAACACCAGTGTCAAAGTCCTGCTGTGCCCACCATCAACCCCAATCTCCTCCTGGTTGTAGTGAGTTACTGCTCCAACCCTGCAAATGGAAATGACATGTATGTACTTGTAGGTTGGTTTCCTAATTATGTTGTGGTGGCAAACACGTGTCACCAATTACTGGCTGGGACAAAACACTTTAATTGATGCAGTAGTTTTACGTAAATGTTTAATTTCATCTGAAAGCAAATGTTGCTGGTATCCACTTTCCCTACAACAAATGCATTTCTCCTGATGGGCAAAACTAATTCCATGTATGTGAAAGTCGTTTCTATCAGACAGGATCGATCCGTGATAAACCAGTAATCATTGAGCAATGCTGCTCTTGT